ATGGATGGATGGATGGGTGAGTGGATGGATGGATGGATGGATGGATGGATGGATGGATGGATGGATGGATGGATGGATGGATGGATTGGTGAGTGGATGGATGGATGGATGGATGGATGGATGGATTGGTGAGTAGATGGATGGATGAATAGATTGATGAGTGGATGGATGGATGGATTGGTGAGTGGATGGATGGATGGATGGATGGATGGATGGATGGATGGATGGATGGATGGATGGATGGATGGATTGGTGAGTGGATGGATGGATGGATGGATGGATGGATGGATTGGTGAGTAGATGGATGGATGAATGGATTGATGAGTGGATGGATGAATGGATGGATTGATGGATGGATGGATGGATCGGTGAGTAGATGGATAGATGGATGGATGGATGGATGGATTGATTGATGAGTGGATGGATGGATTGGTGAGTAGATGGATTGGTGAGTAGATGGATGGATTGGTGAGTAGATGGGTTGGTGAGTAGATGGATGGATGAATGGATTGATGAGTGGATGGATGGATGGATGGATCGGTGAGTGGATGGATGGATGGATGGATGGATGGATGGATTAGGATTAGGATTAGATGTCCTCTCTACTCTCCTATTGAGTTTTTAATCTGTTGCTTTTTAGAAGAGAAGAACTTCACCTCTTCACTTTCATCCTGTTGTTTCTGAGTCTGTTTACATTCAGGGCTTATTTTACTGACACAGGTTCTTTAATGTCTGAATGTAAACAAACTTGGAACATGCTGCAACAGAACCAGATTTTGTTGATTTTGTGTAGGTTATGTTGTAGACTTTGGTATTGAATGATTTGTAGTGTTTATTTTGTTGTAGGTGGTACAACGAATTCAAATACAAAATATTAAAAATTGTGTATTTTGACCTCTGTTATGGCTTTAACTAGTAGAAATGGAAATCAAACTTCAAAGTGCTAAAGCTGTTTTTCTGCCTTGGTTTCTTTCTCTTTTTGACAAGTGGCTTGTTTTTAGCACATAAACCAATCATGCAGCTGCACATTTCCTCATAACCTCAGAGTCAACCAATCAAACACACAGCTTCAGCCTCATCCTTCTCCACACAGCCCATCTGGCTAGAAGCTGCAAAGTAAAAGAAAAAAATGTTCATTGAATGATTCATTAATGTTTTTAAAGTCTCCATTCCCCCTTGCCTTCGTCTGAATAGGCACTTTGATGAAAAAGGGAAAAAATGCAATCAGTACTCAGAGCAACCAGCCTTGACTTTCTGGGCTTTCTGTGTGCAGCTGAAAGAAAAAAGCAGCCTCTCCAAACGGCACTCGCTGCTGCCGGAGGGGAGAAGCGCGGAGGTTGTCTGTTAATGAGTTGTTCTTCTAAAAGCCTTCAGTGATTCAGCCTCTGACCCCTTTGCATTGAGCATCAACAACTGCGCTCAGGTCCTGATGCTACGCTTCCAACTCTTCAAAGATGAAAATAATGGCATCTCAAAAAAAGAAAAACAAGCAGTGGAGATTCTGAAAGAGAAATGTTTGAGTTTAGGAAACTTTCTTTCAATAAAAGTAAATAAGGAAAATATTTAGATACGACAACAATCTTTAATTTATGGACAGACAACATGTTGGAGAGCCTCAGCCTGTGAGGAGGAGGAGGGTGCTATAATCTGAGACTCTGGAGGGGATTAAACCACTAGCTCCTACAGTGTGTGTGTGCACTTGTTTCTGCTCTGTCAGGGATCTAACCAACAAAGTGAGGACATTTTCCTGGTCTTCACTTTTTTGCAGTTGCACTAGTTCAGTTTAGAGGTGTGGTGTGAATTAAGTTTCGGCTCAGGTTAGGAATAGACTAGTAATGGTTAGGGATAGGGAAAAGGTCTGGGTTAGGCATAAACACATTTACAAAAAGTCCTCAGTTTGATGCAAATACAAGGATGTGTGTGATATGATATATTAGAGCTTTGCTTGAGTAAACAGTTTTTGTTCTGAGACCTGTCAGTGTTAATGAGGAACCACTGGTCTTTGGTAGAGCCACACTTCTGTAAGGGTTTCCTGTTTGCCTCCTCAGTTATTGTAGAAGTTTTAATATGTGATGCTGAAAACACTCTTCGTTTTTACTTCATACTGTAATCATGAGACAACCGCTCCAAGAGCAGCCATGATGGAACCATCAAACAACGAGCCTGCTGATTGTTATCAGATCGAGGGATTCAGATCTACGGTGATTCTTGATTTTTTTTGTTTGTTTTGGTTTTACAGTGAAAGGGTGGAGAGTACTCAGCACCGCTCTTTATCAGACAGGCAGACAGAAATGCAAACCAGAGATTAAGCATCAAAACAATTTTCTCTCTGTGAAAACTACAAAGAAATGTTTATGATCCATGAGCTGTCAGAGACGATCTTAATTTATGTTGCATTACACAGGAAGTACAACAGGAAGGAGGTAGCCTCTGCTTTCAGGTCAGAAGCTGCAGTTCAGATCTCAGACTTGATGTTCGTTAGTCTGGCTGTGTGCTAAAAATGTAAGAGTTATGAGCAAATAGTAACAAGTTGCATCATGGGATGTCTTAGTACATACATTTTACAGATCATGGTTGGTTTGTTCGCCTTGACTGGACTGTGAGTCTGGACCACCTCTTAGATTTATTCGGTGGGTCCAGGACTCCTGTGAAAGGACACAGTCCTGATCTAGTTTGGACATTTGTTTGACAGAAATCAAAGACTGTTTAATGAACTGATCAGAGACTCTGCTCTCAGTCATTAAAGGGATAATGCCCACTTCAACGTTGATGAGCTGCTTCATGATTCTAATTCTGCGTGTTCTGCTGTCCCAGACTCTCTTGCTTCACTCAGATCTGAACCTGTCAAACCTTCACATCCCAGATGAATCCAGATTTGAGATCTGCCGCGCAGAGAGAAGACGGAAAAAGGACAAACTCCAAATCTTCTTGTTTATTCAAATAGCAGAGAGCTGTAAAACATCTACTTCTCTGTCCAACATGATTTCTGTAAACAATCACAAACTGCATGTTTTTATTTTAACTCTGTTATTCCTAACTGTGTCAGTGCTTCCTTTAGAGGCTTCTTTTAAACTTTGTGACAAATTTTTGACCTTTTATTTTTTGAAAAATTTCTAACTTGAGGTATTTTCTTTAAAATCAAGTCTGACCCTCTGATATGCTCTGCTGTTTTTCAGCAGTTTGTGTCTTTTTCAGTTTTAATGGACACAGTTTTTAATTTAATTTAAGTCGACTCATATAACCACTTCTCTGGTCATTTAAAGAGAACTCCACAACACTGAGCTGTATGTTCAGCTCAGGCCACAGCACTTTGAAGGGTTTTAATGACCCTCTTTTCACTGTTGATTCAGATTGCTCCATTGTTTCAGTCCTGTTATATTAAACTACTGTCTTTTATACGACTGATCACAGCATCCTTTTATCTGAACCGGCAACATGTTGGTCAGTTTTAGCTTGGTTCAAGAGTAGTAAAGTGAGGAGAGAGCCTGACACTCCTTATATCTCTGCATATCCATCTGTTGTCATTTTTCTGTCTCCTCAGGCCTGATGGGATGGGAACTGTGACTGTGGAGGAAAAGGAGCAGTTTGAGTCCATCAGAAGTCGCCTCATGACTTTACTGATGAACCAAATTACACACTTCAGGTATGAACCAGCAGGCTGATAAAACGAGACTAAAACTCTTGTGGAGTTTTCAGATTCAGATTCTTGCTTTATTGTCGTTCAACATAACATCAGGGATGCACTGTAGAATGAAATTACGATGCATATTAGCACACGACATAAACAGTTTGACAAACTATAAAGCAATGTAGAGTTCAAAATACTAAAATTAAACAAAAAATGCTAAATACTTTACGCTGATCTGTGCAGAAACCACAGGTGTTGGGAGGTGGAGTGCTACTTAAACTGTCATTAATCACAGAAAAATGGATGGATAATATAAATACTGTGTGTAATACTGCAATGCATGTAAATGTTTAATTTTGTTCTTTACAGTTTAAAATGTTTTAAGTTTAAAATGCGTGTTGTACAACAAGCTGAATCTCAGCTTGCTGACCTCCACTCACAATGGGCCTCATGCAAGAACCGTTCGTACGCACAGATTTGTTCTTAAGTTGTGCGTACGAGTGATTTAGGAG